CTTAATTATTTATGATGATTCAAAAGGGAAGGGAGTCTCAGCAAAGACCTGGGGACTGAAGGGGTATGTAAATGTGTAGATTTGTTAACTAGCATCCTACAATAGCAGAATTTGCAGGACGCAATCATAAGGAAACTAATTGTGCTCTTTCCTTCTCTCACATGATCCGTAGGAAATCTACAACTTTGACACGTGGTAAATGGGAGTTTACTTACTTCCAACATGTTTCCTGAGATTGCACTGCTAGAGGTCAATCCAACTGGCATCTCACCCCCGAGATGCCTCAGGCATGAACAGGACACCAGTACACCATGTGTACCACACTCACAGGAGACATGTCCAGTTCCAGCAGCCATTCTTCACTGGGCTCCAGGGAAAGGAGTACCCCATCCCTCCCAAGGGCAGGGAAGGTCCTCACAAAACTTTGTCTTACCTCCTACTCCAGCTCTCGGTAGGCTGAAGGTGGATGGTTAGCTAAGGGGTAAAAGACCGACCGCTTGGTTTGCAATGTATCTTTTGGTGGTCTTACATCGACACTTTTATATGTGGTGTGATTAAAATGCACTGAACCTTGAGTCATTTTTAATATTTGATAGGCGCGTGCATATGTAATTAGTTCATGTTCAAATTCACATCAGGTTTAGAGTTGCTTTGTAAGATACTGAGAAATTTGTGTGATATGTTATTCTAGGAACAACAGCCTAGAAGGGTCTTCAATTTTCTTGAGGTTTTTTTTTTTTTATGTCAAAGGGGTGGCATGCTCTTGAAGACTTAAATGTTCAGTTTAGAAGTATATTTTATTTTCCAGAGGGAAAATTCCATGCTATTTTCCAGAGGTGTAAGGAAACAGAATGCCAGAAGTGTGGAAACGATTTAGATAGGGGATTGTGTAAGTACGTATAAGGTGCTGGATGTCTTTGAGATAAATCTGTGCGCCAGGATCACAGCTTTATGTTGTGGGACGAGAGCAGTGAATAATTGACCCTTTCCATTTTCAGTTTCCACTGGTTTCCCGTGCAAGCAGACAAAATGCACGAATACTAACTGCACACGTGAAACTGCTCCTTCGCAGATGAGGATTTTCTAAAGGGACATATTTAAAGAGCATCCCCCAAATCACTCAATTATTCTGGGTCCGCTAGGCGTGTCTCAGCACCGTGCTACGCTATTATCACGTGCAGGCTGACACAGCTCACTCTGCAATTGCCCTTTTGCGGTTTTAACCCTGGGTGAACCTCGCTTTGAGCAAATTTGTCAGTTGGGGTTGGAATATTATTAATATATTTAACATTCAATAACTTTTCCATTTGCAAAAGTGTCACTGTAAACTTTTTCTGATTTTAGATCTTCTTCGGTGTAGTTTTAAAAATTCAACGAACACAAACTTTGTCCAGGTGGCTTTAGTACAGCCTGGAGTTCCCTCAGAGGACACTACGGTATTGAGGTGCCCCCGGTACCTGAGGGGCAGTGGAGGGAACTAGTCAGCGAGGAATATGCAGACCTTGTCCCTGCCCCTGAGGGCTGTGGAATAAACAGGGGGATGCTGGGGATCCTGTGTGGGCAGGCAGGGGACCGAGTCAAAAACATTTGCTTATCAACATTCATATCCTGTCCCTTGTCGCCACAGACAGGGGGTGACTGTGGGGGAGGAATGGAGGGTACTGAGGACATGGGTCTTAAGGGGTTGCTCTTCCTCTGGGTGGTGCTGTCCCCCAGGATTACTTACCAGATCTGGCAGCTTGGTGAGGACCGAACGGCATCACGTAAACGAACAGCAAGATGAGACCATCCCATGGAGCCCCCGAAGAACAAGCCATGTCTTGTTTCCACGTGAAAAGTGGGAGAAAAAGTTAACATTCACGGGCACATCTTGAAGACAGGAACAAAGCCCTCACCCGTGGCCGTTCGATAAGTGTTGTTTAATAAAAGAATGACTGGATCATGTGCGTGCAGCAGAGAGTCTGATACGGTGTCAGCCCTGCCTCTGACGCAGAGCTTAAATTTCTTAGAACGTGAGCTCTGGGCGGGCAGGGCCCCCTGAGGGACTTTGAGCCTGTCCGTCCCCTCCCTGCCTCTGCTGCCCCCTCCTACCTGCAAGTGCCGAGGAAGGAAGGATTATGTACCTGCTCTGAGCCTCATAAATGACTGTCTGGGATGGTCAGATTCAGCCCATTATGTCTGAGGAATGCTGGTTAGCATGTTACTTTTGAATTTTAAGAATTACATGAGACACGTATGTGCGATTTAGAAAGAGTAGAAAATAGGTAAGTGAAAAAGAAGAAAATCATTCACTCTGACACTAATTAGGGAGAACAAGATAGAGAACTCTGTACGAAAATGGAATCAACATTGTACAAAATGTGTCCTGTTTTCTCCCTTCATGACAAACTGAACTTTTTTTTTTTGGGTGGTGTGATGTTGGAGGTGCCCTATTAATGTAATGCCCACCTCTTATGCTCTACTCTACTCAAGATTAATCAGCTACAGGTCCTTTAAATAAAACTGGTAGTTTCTTCCCTGCTCTGAATGAATCACTACCATTTATCATGCTTCCGAGATCCAGCAAACAGTGTCAGTTCTGCCTGTGATATGGTTAAGAAGTGGGTTCACCTAAAGACGGATGATAAGTTCAAAATCAGCTGACAGTACATAAAAGAGTGGCCTCAAGGAGAAGCTGGGCCTCAGCAGTGAGAGAGTGAGGCAGCCTGGAGCACATGCAGCCACTAGCCTCCCCGCCTCCGCACACTGGTTCAGGTGCAGAGAGACACCAGGAGTGGGAAAGAAGCAACTCGGGACAGAGACACTCATTCAACGAGATTACTTGGGTTTCTATACATTTGCGGCAGCAGTCCCAATACCAGGCTCAGGTTCAGAACCGCCCTGGTGTACGTCTGTGATCTCAGCGCTGGCTGCCCGGGAGAGAGCTGGGCCTTGCCGGTCCCGCAGAGCTGCGGATGGAGGCGCTCTCAGGGACTCCAGGTCCTGGACTTTGTTTCCTGCCTTCAGTTCCAGTGAGGATGTGGCATCATTGATGGGACTTTGATTCAGTAAACAGACAAGCTGATTTTTTCAGGTGTACATTTCAGTGGGTTTTGGTGTGTTCACAAGGTTGTGCAACCATCCCCACGATCTAATTTCAGAGCATTTTCCTCACCCCAGAAAGAAGTAGTCATCAGCATTCACTGTCCTTCCCCCTCTCCCCCAACCTGACTACCACTAATCCCCTTTCTGTCTCTATAGATTTGCCTATTCTGGACATTTCATATAAATGGAATCACACATTATGTGGCCTTCTGTGTCTGGTTTCTTTCACTTTGCAGGATATTTTCAAGACACATCCATGTTGTAGCATGTATCAGAACTTTATCCCTTTTTATGGCTGAATAATATTCCATTTTATGGATATACCACATTTGTTTTTCAATTCATTAGTTGACAGATAGTTGAGTAGTTTCCACTTTTTAGCTTTACTGAATCATGCTGCTATGCA